AGCAATTGACTTCCCAAACAATCTACGTATAATTTTCAAGAAATACTTTTATAAACAACGCATGCCTTTAGTATAAACAAAATCGATGCATATCAAGCTTTAAAATCGTTTTCGATTTGTTTGTTTGTTTGTTTGTTTGTTCATGACATAACTCAATCATGGTTGTAGCTATCAACAAGTTGATCCATTCCATTGGCATTCATAAATTTTATTGAAAACTGTGCACATATAATTTCCGTTCTTTTTGACACGAAAATGAGCGTCAAAACGGGTTAAAAATGTACATTTTTCAACGTACATACTAAAAACGTTACATTTTTGCTTGCTGGTTATATATATATATATATAATTATTTTTTCTTACATATCGTCTCATAAAACTTAAAAGATATTTAAATTACAAAATTATTACTCAAAATATTTGACTACTTTGAAGAGAGATGTCGTTGTTCATTTGGACATAATAGTAAACGTTCCCGAGCAACGTTTTAGAACGCAAAATCATCCATTATTGACATATGTTGACGGTCGAAATCGGGGCCGGATTTGTGTGTAGTTTCAGTCAAATCCAACGTCACAATGGAATGAAAAATAGAGAGAAAAAACAATCCAATTGATATGAAATTTTTTGACTTGATTCCTAATCATCAATATGTTAAGCAAAAAACTCTACACATTTGGCATATTGTTGACATTCTGATTCTGACCACGATACAATGGTAAAGGCTGATTGTTGACAATGCGACTTGGTCTCCGAACATTTTGATGAATTGTCCGTTTGAACACCCCGCATTCACCTAACAAATGATATAACAAAAACAGATTATATCAATTTTTAACAATTAGTATCAATGAATTGCATACCTTCGTACAGGATCAGCTTCGCAACTGCAATATCACGATGCCAAACTGTTGTGAGCGATGGTTGTGCTCCAGCAGCTTCCTCGATTTCAACGTTTACAGCATTTGGTTACACAAATGTAAGCACAAAATGAAGATGTCTCCATAGAGATAATGAACAAACGAGGCCGAATATGAAATTGATCTTCATTTAATCGTGATCACAATAGGTTCATTTATATAACTCTATCAACTTTAATCAAATCCCATCACATCTTCCCTTCTTAATAGATAATATAAGAGAAAAGACATCATTTTCTCAATAACGCAATTTAATGTGAGAACCACGTAATAAAATATCTAGAAAAATCATAATGCGTTTTCATTGTGTGTGGCCATCCAGAGCTCTATGTAAGCAATGTCTGTGAACAAAATGTCGATATTTTAATCGTGCAGAGACAGATAGCTGCTGCAAGAAAAGGTGAATTACATTTGGAGAATTCAGGCGCATTACAGTTTGTATATCCATTTTGAAATTTGTTCGAAATTTATGGAATATTTGCACAAAAAAGAAGCCAATTTTCATGTATTTAAACGCCAAAGGGTAAAAAAAAAGACGAATCATGCCTAATCGACCGGTCCAAATTCGTGCATATCCTCATCTCCATATTGCATATTCAGACCTCGTAGTTTCAAGCTTTTCACTTGATACCTGCCGTTTGAAATTAACGATGCATCATACTGATCATCTAAACATATTATCATTTCAGAATACAACATAATATATTCAAAATATTATCGTCTAGAAAATAATTTCTTTTCAAATTCTTCAATTTTAATTAGAATAAGACCCAGCAAGAACCAGTTTAGTTATGTCTAACGACAAATTGGCCAGTTTTAATAGAAACGGAAATATAAAATTAAAAAAGAAAATCAAACGATAAATTCTATTGTTTATAACATATGACAGGTATTGAATCTGGCAAGACTAAACAAATGAAAAGTCAAAATTTGTCCCATTGTACGTTAACTATATTGAATCAAAGTATTTAAATATTAGTATGATGAGATTTTAAAATCGAGTTTTTTTTCCACTTGAAAAATTGCACCTCGAAATTGTACAATCAATGCATCAAATAATGAGACGAGAAGACGATTTGAATTTAAGAAACAATCATATTTAAATACCATGTCATCATGTCATTTATACTTAATTTTCAACAGCATGTGTTTCTGATAAAAAAAAATTTCATTATATCTACATAGCGAATATATAGCGATAAAAAATATACTAAATTGAAAAAAGTAAGTGGATAATAATGAAGATTTATAATGAAGAAAGATTTTATTCTGAAATGGTAAATACAAGTAGCCGACACACTCACAAACACACACACATACAAACGCACACACATGCATGGCAGAAAAACGGTGTGTGCTACATACAAAATATAAACATACGCACAACCTCCAATACATGACCGTGTTACACATGGATTGAAAGTCAGAATTCGCTTCAACTTCAGAGCGAATTATCAACTCAGTGTGTGAGAAGGAATGAACGTATATATACAATATCAATAGATGTATATTACAATATAAAAAAATAAGTGTTCGACTATAATCGACGACCGAAAACAAAAGCAAATGCAAAAATTTCAATTCAATCAATAAAATATGTGTGAGTGTTTAACCAACAGATTGTAAGAGTGATTACGAGCATGCCGATTCGTGTAAAATTCAATCGAAAAAACAATTTGGTGAAGACAACATCAAAACATTCGCACAACACAAAAGAATCTGAAAACAAATGAACTGAGTCAGTCTTGCTATTAATCATTTTGGGGCCCGTGCATATATTTGGTGTGTGTGTGCGCTGCATTGAACTAAAGTGTGTGCTGTTTTTTTTTATCTGTCTTTCCGATCGCGAAAAAAGCGTCTTTCATTTGTATCCCGTATAGAAAACATTTGTTAATTATAACAGTCATTGCCAGCTATAGAATAACAGCAAACGTACCCCAGTTCTCTGTCCAAAGTCATGTTGTGATTGGCAGCGTTAAGTTTTAAGAAGTGATTTTATTCAAGAAAAATATTGGTATTTATACAATTTAGAATAATAGAAAACAGTACATATAGTGGGATAGACTTTATCAACATATGGTCCATTAACATTTCTATTTCATATTTAGCTTCATTTTTACTGTTCTGTATATACGTGCAAATGAATATATTAACCTGTTCAAAACATCAACACAATATTAGTTCGATTCATATAGAAACTAATATTTCTTAACAATAATATTGTTCAGATTCATTGAGAATCAATATTTCTCAACAAGTCAGCATATTTAAATTCATTCAAAGAATTTAATTAGTTTTTGCTTCGGTTTTTTATTACAAAAACAAAATGATAACCTCAAATAGAAGATTCCAATTAATAGCGATGCTTGTCGTTTGTTTGATAATCGCTGTAAGTGCAGAAAAGAATGATGATAATGAAAAACCGGCATGGGCAAAGAAAAAAATCTCAGACTATTCAGATGTGGACATGGAACGATTGTTGGATCAATGGAACGTAAGTAGTAGAATGGCAATGAGAAAAGAGCGAGTGGATAAAACATGTATCGATTCTAGGAAGACGATGATGATGGTGATCCAGATGATGATGTGCCCGAACACTTGCGACCAACACCACAAATTGACTTATCCAGTATAGACACAAGTAATCCCGAGAATTTACTGAAAGAATTGAAAAAAGGCAGAACAGTCATGACATTTGTTGCTGTATCGGAAAATCCAAGCCGAATTGAGACAGAAGAAATCACCAAAGTATGGCAAACTAGCCTTTGGAATGCTAATATTCAAGCAGAAAAGTAAATACAACTGAAGAACGATTTTTTTTTTAAATTTGAGACTAATCCGAACTTTACTCGATTGTGACTCAGGTATATGATTGATGATAATCGAGCAATATTCATATTCAAAGATGGCAGTCAGGCATGGAAAGCCAAAGACTATCTCATTGGTCAAGAGCGATGCGAAAGCGTATCGGTGGAAAACAAAGTATATCCAGGAAAAGGAAGTCCAAACGGTGGAAAAGATGAACTTTAAAGAAATCATTTTATAATCGATTTATGGATAAATTTTCTGTTATTTTCAAATCAACCAAAAATGATAAATTGAAGCCGAAGCTTTTCTCAATGTATACTTCGTATGGTTTTAAAAATATAGTAAGACAAAAAATCAGAATCTTTTTTTTCCCCAGGGTTTTTTTTATTTCATTTTTTTCAACTGTGTATATAGTGCATTAGGTGAAAAAAAAAATTTTCTTTCAACTGTGCATATAATGCATATAGTGTGAGTGAATATTACATATATATTGTTGTCAAAAAAAATAAATCCAGAATTTGGATGACATTCCGACTTTAGATTGTTTTGTTTCAACACGAATCAACATGAATTTTTCACCTAATGAATAGAAGCAAAAAAAAAATATTGTTATAGTAATTTTACCAAAATGCACATTGTTTTTTGCTTCTACTCACGTTTATTTTTTATTTGCTGTGTTATTTCTCGTAAACAAATATATATTAAATATATTACAACCAATCCAATCGTTTCTGGGTGTAATTGGCGGTTCCTACGCGATTTTTCGATTTATTGCGCATGTTTTGCAGTTTGAGGAAAGGATGGAGGTGATAATGATTCGTAGATCATAAAAAAAAAATCGATGAATAAAAACAAATATCATATGTGTGAAAAAAAAACATGATTCTTTGCTTTTCATTTGATTGATTTAATCTTTTTCTCAGTGCTTGCTACGTGGTGCTTGTTTTTTTTATGATTCATTCTAATTTCTATGTATTTACCTTTAAAAAGATTGATTGAATATTTTTCTAGATGCTTGCTACGTGGTGCTTGTAAAATGCTTGCTACGTGCAAAAAAGACATCTTCTCTTGCTTGCATTTTTCTTCATATACCAAATGGATGATGGAAAGAGTGTGGTCGATTTTCCTTTATCATTTTTGATGAAACATGGATAATTCAATTTGATTTTGCGCACATGTATACACATACATACACACATACACATCGTGTACACGTTCGTTCGTTCGTTCATTCGTTATCACACACATATTTCGTTTTAGTTTTAAATATTTGTTGGACAAGTGCAGACATTATTATTTTTTTTTACATCATCATCATCATCATCGGTTTGACAAAGAGAGAATGAAAATGAAGAAATATAAATGTATATTTCATTCAACGATAGGTGAGATGGACAGCTACAATAGTACATGTAATTGCATGGGGAAAAAAAGAGGTGTGTGGAAATTCTCCTGACTGATTTTCCGCTTTCTCACACATGCGCATGATTGTGAAATTTTATCCACTTTTCCCCTCGCGAATCTCATGCGCATGCATGTGTTTTTTCCCCTCTGAAATTTTTGGCCCCTTTCCCCGCGAGAATTATATGCGCATGCGTGTGTTTTTTCCCCTCTGAAATTGTTGGCCCCTTTCCCCGCGAGAATTACATGCATTTTACTGTCCCCCCTCGCCTATGGTTGGACGAAATGTACATTTATATACTACTATAGTGCAGATTTCGCGAAGTGGGTGGCTGTAATGACAGACGTAAAATTATTTGTTAAGTGTATGTCTGGCTGCATGGTTCAATATAGTTTTCTGACATAAAGCAAAAAAAAAAGTTACTTGTTAGAGTGGCTCTTGGTCTAACACCATACATTCGATAAAGCGAAAATTTGGTTTCGAATTACACAATGCTGACGTTTCTCCTCTTCTAAATGTCTACACTTCTGTATTATTCTGATCCATGTTCATATTTTGCTTTGAAAAAATATCATTGACTGGATGTAAATAAAAAACATGCATATAATCAACTTTCCATTGACACGAAAATGACCACCAAAATAGGTCAGAGCATTACATTTTTCAACGCTAAAATAGATGAAAAACGTTACAAATTCAAGCTATTGGTGAAATCATTTCCCGAAATTATGAGTTATTTCGATCTAGGATGCTTTCTTTGACAAAATTAAACAAAACTCACTCTTCCAATAGTCATTTGAACGTCTGTATGACTTGAATACCAAAATTTTCATGAAAAAACCAAGACAAATGAACGTCGAGTCGAAATGTATCGGGTGATAACAAAATGTAATGTATCCACATGATCATTCATTCCCCGATCAAATTCAACATTCGCATTCGTTTCATGTCCAACTTATAAACAACTTATATGATGGCGGTAAGCATTCTGACTTTATTTGTACCATTATGTTTTCAACTCTCAATATAAAATGAGCATTTTTTGGGAGCACGAAATTGATACTCATTTGTTTTCAAACTATTATTTTTGAGCTGAAACTCTCTCAGTTACTCTAAAGAAGACATTTGTTTCGCGCCATATAAGGATATATCTTACTTGGCATGCATCACGTTTCTTTTTAATCGACAATGATTCCTTCTCCTCATCTACTGTTTCACTTTGATATTCTGAACTTGATATCAATGTAGACGGATCAAGGAATGAACGACTTGTGCCTTTATGTTATATCGTTTATCGTTACTTCATTAAGCTCGTGTGAGGTTTCGTTATAGTCTATAAGTTATAGACAATACGACACCCTGAATTCAAGGTGTCTTCTGGAATTTCCGACATAAAATTAGCATCCATTTCATCGACTATGATCGGATGTAAACGTTTTGGATCAACCATTTTGAGCAGATTGGCCAAAGTATATCTTCCAGCATGTGAAAAATGTGTAATGTATTTTTCAACACATATTTTACAATTAAAATACACTAACTCACATAAATTAAACCATCATACTTTTCCATGCATCTCTTCTTCTGTTCCTCATCGGTATTTGTACGAGCAATTAATCGAATTTTGATCATTTTTTCCGTCTCGTATAATCTTTGGATAGATATGGATGTCAATAGAAAAGGAGCTGTAAACCAAATAAACTTACGTTTTGTACTCTTCCAAACTATGTGCTTCATAGTTTTCAACATAAATCTTTGGCTGGAATTTAATCGGAATACATTAAAACTGTATTTAACTAAAATAAAAACGATCACATTTTTTTATTTACTTTGTATTTTTTTTCTCATTTTTTGTTCCTCAAAATATTTTATTTTCACTTTATTATTAATACATTCTTTCCGTGTGACTAATCTATCACACAGTAAGGCAATATGGTTATTATTTCATCATTATATGACCTAACATTCAAGGTCTCGTACCACTCTTTGAACCTATATCCATTTGATGATACTCCAGTAATATTCTCATCTGTCAAATCATTGAAGCTAGGCAACATTCCATTATTTTCCAATAATAGCGATGATTCAGTTTCGGTTTCCTCCTATTGAACGTTATAAAAATTAAGAGTTAAAGAAGTTAAAGGTCACCGCATATTTCGAATATTGATCAATATTTGAAAGATATTTGATAAAAGCACACTAACCTTTTTTCTATCTTGCAAACTCCCATCTTGACTTTCAGAATTTTTATCAGCTATATTCGTACTATTGCTTTGGCCATCGCCTTCTTTTTCGTCACATTGGAACAGTTGTTCTGGCAATGAATGGTGAAAGAATAAGTTGTCATTGTGGTTTTCCGCGAAACTAGCATTATTATGATTATTCCCATCATGCATGAGTCCTGGCGTAGAAGTTGGGAATTGCTCTACATCAGTTTTATTTGTTCTTATTTGTTCATCGAGATATGCTTTAGTGGACTTAAAATTTAAAATAGTCGATTTAAACATTATATTTTATATTTTTCAAAAAAAAAAAAATCAAATGTGAAATCAATGTTATACCAATTGTTGTTGCTCTTGAATCACTTTGACAACCGACACTTGCAATTGGTCATCGTTAAATCCAATGTTAGTATGTTCAACTGAATTTTCTTTTGTGTCATTAAGATCCATGCCCGATGTTGATTTTGGTAGTTTGGTTGCAATTGGAATAGGTAGGAAAGATGGCAACAATAATTTTTTCTGCTGAAAAATAAAATCAAGAAAATGAACGATTGGAATAAAATTATTTTTACTTTCATCTTTGTAACTACCTCTGGGCACGGTTTAGATTTTTTATTATTTGAATTCGACGATGATGTATCATCCCAGGACGAATTTGTCGAAGAATAAGTTGTCGATGAGGAATATGATCGATGTCGTTTGTGATTAACTTTTCCATGGATTGCTTCATGTGTTTTAAGTGTTTCCTCTGTAAGAGGAAATTCTAGCTTCGTTGGATCTATATATATATATATAATAAAAAAAAGAAAGAAATCGAATTCATGCAATGTACTTTTCATTTCAGAAAATTTCACGAAAAAAATTACCTCTTTTATCTACATGGTCTAGTTCAGGATGCACGAATTCCATACATTTTGAGTCATTACTATCAGATTTATCTGAATTTGTATCTAATTGAGAATACGAGCTTTCATTCAAGAGATTCGATGTTTTATCACCTTCAAAAAATACGGGCTTACAAAACATTGTTGGCAGCATTACATCATTTGCATTAACTCTGTCAGGTGTATCTTCACCTGTTTCATTATCTGTCATATTTTCATGTTCTTCATATTCTTCACCATCACAGATCATATTAGTTGCCTTCTTGTTTGCTTCGTGGTCACAGCTACTACTATTACTACTACTCCTACTACTACTATTACTCGAATGCGAATGCATAGAATCCGATGAAGACTGTTGCGAATCCTTCAGCTCTAAAATATTAAATACATACGATATAATTAAAATGAAAGAAATTCATTCGCGAAAATGGGACAACACATGGTATTTTTACATTATAGCTCTCATATAGAAACATAATAATAAAATATTGCTGCACTTAAGTGTGGTTCTTTGAACTGTCACTTTAATAGTTCAACAATACTTTTCTAATAATCACATTAATTTTAAAAAAATATAAAATTTAAGATTTGGTTTTTGGTAATAACATTCAAACATTTAATAAGAACACGACTTCATTTCAATCAAAAGTTAACTAAACTTATTCTAAAATTCGCTCAAGTAGTTAAAAAAAATCTTTACGGAACATTCAATAAACCTTAAAAGAAAAACTCACCCTTATCAAAATTTTCTAGCGTTATGAAATGATCGTTGCTATTTTTTTGTTCATAATTCTCAAAACATAAATCCTCTTCTAAAATGAAACAAAAAATGTATATGTCAGTTATTAGATTAAAAAAAAAAAAAACTATATTTATCAGCTTAAGTGCAAAAGGCTACTTCGTGAATATGAATGATGTGCGCAGAAAGAGTTTCAGTAATATATCCTTTGTATTTCGCGGGATTAAAAGACGATATCATATACTTCAAGAGCCAGCCCAAATAATAAAAATATATTTTTTTCATTAAGTAGAATGCTTCTGGGTAATCATTTCATATTATATCCATATCTCAAGTTTTGAATTCAACTCGAAATAATTTCATTGAAATTGGCTGTGAATACGCGTTTATTGGAATTTGCTTATGTAAAATCGCAATCTAACACAATTACTGTAGCACGGAAAATTGGTTATAGTGTAAGGGTTTATATTTAAATTCGTCGAACCTAGCATTGTTACTACAGAGAATTGAATTGGGACATGAGTTTACCATGGCAAAATATAACAAACGTGAATACAATAAAGAAATATATCCTAAGCTATAATAAGTTGGAATTTCAAATATCATACCGAGACTCTCATCATCGTCATAATTTTCCTCATCGTCTGATTGTTCGGAGAGGTCAGTTATATGGATATCTAATTCCGCTTCTATATTTTCGATTGATTGTCGCTCTTCAGATTTATCTCTATTATTTTGATATTCCTCCAAATTGCGTTCAATCGCCATGTCATAGGATTTACTGAAAAGTTTACATTTACATTAATATTAAATGAAACAAAAATGAAGAAGATGAACGTAAAGATGAATCCACTTTCAAACTTATTTACCTGTATTGACTTTCAAAATCCATGGAATCCATCGCATTTTCATCAGACTCCGGGAGTATTTGATTTGGACTCAGATCTATAACTTGGTGTAGGTTATCGGTATCGTCTATGCTCGCCCGTGCATTTTCATCGATTACAGGCGATGGTGATTTTACTGGTTCATTCTCGTTGTGCAATTCGATATCACTCTCTAAGATTTGTACAACAAAAAAAATGTTAGATAGCTACAGAAATGTTAGAAATAAAGTGTAACTTATACCTTCAATGGATTTGTTATTTTTGGGTTCGATCATCTCGACAAATGGATCGTTCGCAATGGAATACACATTATTATCTGTTTCAGATTTTAGCTCATTAGCGTTATTCATAACAATGTCATCAACATCCATTTCACATATATGTTCAATTGGCTCGCACTCAAAATCAGGTGGTAAATCTTCACATCCTTGGTCTAAATCCATCAAACCAATGTCTGTTGAATGTTTCCTATTGAATATTATAATAAAAATGATTTAATTAAAAAAATATCCTTTATTATTAATAATAAAGCTGCTTACCGCCCACTTTCGATATCGTTAATATCGTTGCTGCAATCATAAATGCGAAAATTTTGATTAATTTTCGCTTCAAATGAATCATCGGCAACGATATGCGGATTATTCTCATTTGTATGGACAATATTCTCAACATTTGTAGTAGAATCTTGTGATTCCATCTCGGTGGTAATCTCTTTTTTCACCATGATGTTGGCCAAAAAGATATGTGGCTCCACTTCATCTGATGGACCAAAGTTCAAACTGGTATGACTGAGATTTTTCGGCAATTGATCAATAGTTAAGTAATTGCACAGCGGAACTACACGCTCGTAAAGACCTATCGAAATCTCAGTAATACGTGGCTCCATTTCAAACTCTTCTTTATCATCTTCTCGTTCCAATGTTGTTTCTTTAGATGCTTGTCCATCTTGGTCGTGTATCGTTGTTTCCATTGTTGATTCGATGTTTTTCTGAGCTGTTTGTTCTTCATCGCCGCAAATAGTTTGCATTAGATTTACATCATCACAACCAATTTTTGTTTGTGGCTGCATAGAGTCTTCCTCTCCCTTGGCATCGTCCCAGTTCCCGTTTATGTTTGGTATATACGAGGTATGTAGATTTTTGATGTGATACTCCGTGATTGACTGTTTTGATGTGATATACAATTGTTTTGCATTACAATTCACATCTTCTTCAACACGGAAACGTGGTTGGGGTTCAATTGCGTTGAGATCAGCGTTCAGAGCCTTCGGTTCTTCTTGCATTGTTTTTGATGGAATTACATTAGTATTGGCAGCGGTGATATTTGAGTCTGAGTTGTGTACATTTGATTGCATTCCATCCACAATTGGATTACAATCATCTACTTTGCCCTGTTCATGTTGTTCGCTATCTGTCGGAAAATTGCTTTTCGCCGCACATTTAATTGGTATTACTTCACCATCTTGATTAATATTCTCGTTTAGAAACAATTCATCACAGCTTTTGTCATCAGAAATATCATTATTACTATCACTATTGCTACTTATTTTATTTAAATTTGTATTTAAATTTATATTATTATTGTGATTTAATTTAAATGTAATCGGGTCATCATCATCGTAATCCAAATCAAATATTGATTTCACAGTTGGTTTTTTAAACGGTGGATCCTGATCTATCGATTTTACATTCGGTGTATTGATGCTATTTGAGGTAGCCACTGTGCTATTGTATTCTGTAGGTGGAATTGATTTGGAGAATTCGCATCGATTATCATTCAATTCGTACGGTCGATTTTCGACCAGCGCTGCTTGAGGAAGTACATTGCAGTCAGTTAACATCTTTGGCACATTAATATTTTCTACACTATGATCCTTTGTGGTTGGGTTATCATTCATTTCAATTGAATTATCTTTGTCGGTGATCTCAATTAGTTTACATGTACAAACAATGCTATTATTATACGTTGATTTTTGCCATGCCCTCAGCGCGGCTCTATTCACTGGCGGTAATTTTGCATGTAACTCTTCAATTTCTTGGTCAACTATACTTTTTGCATTCCCAATTTCGATTGCTGCTTGATTTTCATATGAGCTTTGATTATCTGACATAGATCCGCCCACGGCCGCTGACTTCGACTTTTTGCTACTACTTCGTTCCGAGCTTGTGATTCGAGTATGTGAAGACAACATAGGTGACATTGGAGTTGTTATTTTCAACCTGAATAGAGCATTTCAAATTTCAAAAAACTTTTACATTTCCTGGCAAAAAAAAAACTAAAACGAATGTGTTTCATACCCCAAATTATATTTTCCATTTGTAAGACCATTTTCATCGACATCTTGGTGCGATTGTAACTGCGATTCAACCGCACTACCATCATCAGTCGATGTTGTTGCCTTTCGATTTTGTAATTCCGCCAATAATTCCTTGGTTGTTTTCACTTTTTTGGTCGTTCCACGAATTAATTCAATTTTATTTTTCAACGATGAAAATGATATTGAGTCATAGTATGGAGCACCAGCTTGCTGTGAATGTGATGAATTACTAGCACTACCTAAACGGCTATCAACTCCCTTTGAACCCTTTTTGCGGCCACGTTTTTTACCTGTTAGTTGTCCAATGTTTGATACTGATGTTCTTGGTATATCATTCTCTAATATATCATCCTAAATACAAATAGATTATAAGAGTTTTTAAAAAAATTCAAGTTTTTATGTCATTCGTTGATAATATAATTCATGTAAATGGCATGAGTATTTAATTTAATTTGCTTACCTGCACCAGACTGTCTCCATATGGACCTGCTTGTGACGATTCATTCTGATTCAGCAAGGATATGTGTTGTTTAGATGAATTTTCTTCATCGGTAGCAATACGGCTACCGCAATCAGTGCCTCTCATTGGCAGCGTAAAAATTCGTGACGGACTAGAGCTACGACTTTTGGCTGTCAATAACATTGGACTTTTTGAATGATATTTTGGACTATTGCTTGCTCCACTACTACTGTCGATATTAATGATATTGTCATCAGTTCTTTTAAATCTACCGCTGAATGTCAAATCATCCGATGATACTGTATTTGATGTAATTGTAGGCGTCCATAAAACACTTTTTGCCGCATGGTTTATGGATGTTGATGGTAACGATGTTCCGACATTAGTCAAAAAAGCATTGCTGTTTGTTGGCATATGTTGGTCCTTCATTGAATCACTAGTGTTTGCAAACAAACTGATTGAATTACTTGAAAGACTATCAGGCAGCTCAAGTACAGGTGGTCTACTTGTTACAGAGGTTTGTTCGGTTGTTGCTGGCGACGATAATTGTTTCTGTTTTTTGCCTTTTTTGTCTTTTTTGTGCTTTTTATGCTTTTTCTTGAGAACTTCATTAGTTAAACTTTCACTGCTCAGCTGACTAATATTTGGTACGATTCTATTTAGTAGAGAACGATATAGAAATGTAAACAAAAAGAAAAGAATCGAATTGAATTTATATAGATCAGTAGTACATACGTATCAGGTTCGATGATGTTTACAGATGACGAATTCGAATTATTGTCCATTGCAGTTGAGTTATCACCATAATCTGGATTACGTCCATTCGAGATGGACGATTGATTTGATTGAAAGTGTTTGTAATTTTGTACATCGTACACATGTACCGAATTTTCATCATGCGAACTCGATGAAAATTTCGGCATGGACGATGATTCTTTTAAATTTACTAAAGGACTGTGTGATCGATCGGTATGTTTACTTAATCTCAGCGAAGTGGCGGAGTTTTTAATCTTCGGTATTTTTGGTAAGGCAGATATGCTAATGTGGCTTTTTAAATTATCATTAGTGCTAAGCATTCTATATGGATCCGGCTCTTTATTTTTGCCACTAAAATTGGACGAAGTCAACTGTCCGCCAACATTCGTATTTAAATTCGATTTGATGTCGTGAAATTTGTTGGTATATCGCGTACAGTCTTCATTTTGGTCAGCTGCTATTGATGGATTTTTGGCGGGCAATAATGCATGATTTGAGCCAGTTTCATGGATTCGTCCATGTCTCCTGCTATCGCCAGTCGGGTATTTTGAATTATCGACAATAATATGTTCGCTGGTGTCATGAAACTGTGTCGACATTCGGTTTTGATTATAGAACTGTGGTTGCACTCCTCTGTCATCATGTTGTTGCGCTAATGCTGGAGAAACTGAATATTTTGATTTTTCTTTAGATATTTTCCATTCACAGTCACAATAATAATAATAATAATCATGTAGTACACATACCTCTGGGTATATTTGGTTTTTGTGAATGTGGAAGCTGCTGTTGCGTAGCTCCCCCTGATGATGCTGGTAAAACCATTTCACGCCATTTTTTAAGCAGATTTTTTGCGCGGCGGGCTAATGATTCATTCGCTGTTTTACGACGCAAATGGTTTATATGCTTTCCAAGTCGGGTGGTTTCCAGTTGTTCTTTTGTGATCTGTATGTTTTCCAGCTCTGTGATAACTTGTAATACCGTATCCATGTCGGCGACCTGAAAATAATATCATTTTTTTACCATCTTCAAGCGATAAGTCAAGTAGTATTCGTTGCCAGAACACTTAAAACACATTTAACCAAAAAATTGTGGTGCTCACTGCTCAAGATTCAATGTAATTTCCAAAAAAAAAAAAAAATTGTTCATCAGTTCAGTACTTACATTGTAATTTTGATCCAATGCGCTTTGTAGCCGTTGTAATATTTCGGCAATTTGAATACTCATTAAAAAATGAGTAGTAGTGATCTATGTGTCAGCACTTTAAAATTGAAATTTTCTCGCAGTTAATTTCTTATTTAATGTGACAACGATCCACTCTGGAATCGATTATCACGGACACAAAGGGACCAGTACTTAAAAATCATCCATTTACTTCGCATTCGTTGGCTTTTTCATTTGTCCCAAGTGTTAATGCAAACTCTCAGTGAATTCGATAAGAAAATTATTACTTTCTTTCTCTTTGTATCAATTAAATGATGTATTAACAAATTAAAAAAAACTGAAGTTCTGCAAAACAATAACACTAGTATACAGAATCACATTGACGTAGAGTTATTGGTGGAAGAAATTGACCTCATTCAACTGCAGATTATGTCTGTGGATCGGTTGTAGTATATGTCTGTAAACAATGTGAAGACAACATCAATATTGAATGAATAATGCATAATTGTCAAATAAGTCACAAAAATTGAACATCATTTGACAAGAAATGTGAATGTATGCTTTGTTTAAAAAAGTGAAATGACAAGGTGCGGCCAACCGATTATTATCGTACCGATACACATCACTCAATTATGTTGCGGAGCATTTTTCAGGAATATAATTTCTACGTGACCATTGAATTGTGTCCAGAATGTAAACATTTAACACTACTTTTAAGGATGAAAGTAGAAAACACCAAATATATATTCACCAAAGACATCTCATGAAAGGAATTTTGCATATATCTACGGTATTTACGTAGTTGAATTATGTATTGCGTATAACTAGACACATTAATGCCCTATAAACTATAGCAAAGTTTAATATCAACATATTCATTATGTATTTACTTCGCTTCGAAGAACAAATATGTCAAATAGAATGGTATTTTTATGAATCAAAATCCACAAAATTTGTTCAATGAAATGATAAATGTACGTTCATAGTTCTTGCACCAGCACATTTTCAACCAGTTGTCCACTAGTTTATGCGTGATGTTTATAGATTTGAATGAGTTTCAACTTTTCAAAAATCATCATTTGAAATAAGCAACGTTGTTGTTCTTGCACAATTTTCGGTGGCTTCCATTAATTTTCTCTTTTCTTTTCATTTTCAATCACCAAACCAAGTTTCGTAATTTTTTTTATCTTCATTCATTTCAATCTTACGCGATTTGAATAGTTTTCCATAAATATTTTAATATTTCCATTTTGCGGCAAATTGAAACAGAACAATTATTTTATTCTGTCTACTAAGCACTCATATTTCATATACATCCATTCACATTTATTGGGCAAATTATATATTTTTTCATATATATATAAAAAAGAAAACAGAAATATTATTGAAAGTAAGACAAGCAAAATGTCGTAGTATTTGTAGCATATTAATACATACAATTAACGATCAGCAACTGCAGAAACAACTCAATCTGTCTTCAAATACGTATGTAACCTTTTTGCTCGCTCACAAAAAAACTTTTCTCTTTGAGTACAGTATTCTCAACTAGGGAAAAATTGCTATCTGTTTTTGCATTCGTCCAAATATAACTATTCCAGTTAAATAATTTTGATAAAAAAAAATATTTTGAAGCGTACACCGTATTTATGAATTATTTGGAACCATTTAAATTGTTCAATGTGTGAAAAATTCGAAAAAAAAATTCGATTTGTGATTGACGTGCTAACGATACGCGTGTAAAACAACTTGTAGTTGTCGTGTAATGGCGGATGATGATAATGCCTGACGAACAACGGTGTGTATATTGAATGACTCGCTCGCATTGTCGAGACTCGAATTCTCTACTGTCCATGCAGATTCATTTCGTATTTTCGCTCTTAAACTAAATGTCAGCGTAAACTAAATATTATGCATCTCGCTCTACGTATATACGGTTGTCTCGTTCGTGAACTCATAATAAAGAGACCAAATGATGTGTGTAGTGTGTCTATGAATATTTTGATGGTAGTACAAATGGTATATGTACACAAATGTTTCCATGTGTGGTGGTATTTTACGAACGGAGAAGCGAATAGTATGCGGCGAACGATTACCTGATGAATGATGAAATGTCGAATTTGAAAAATGAATTCGCTGTTACCAGCAGAGGGCAACAAAATCGAATAATTTTAAAGCGAATTTAGACCATTGAATATTATACAATTTATTTTGCATGAATTACGATGAATTATATGTAAACAATTGCATTGGCGTTTTTTCATTGTTGTTTTTTCAACTGTTTATTTTTTCTACTTCTTTTTTTCTTTAATTATCTATAAAAATTCAGAACAGCAAAGCAAACATTTGCGAATTGTGTTTTGTCAAGTGACAGCTATCTCAAATAATATTTCAAGTGTATTGCATTTTACGCATGTTCTTGTGTTGTTCCCGTTTTTTCATTGAAAGGCTTGTTCAATGTAGAGAAAAAGATATATATAAAAAATATTATTCTTTAAAGAAAACAGTAACTAAATGAATAACGAAAGAGACGATATACAGTTTATAATTTAATAACAAATAACGAATTCAAAATAAGATAAACTGAACTGTTGATATTTTTTTGTTTTGATTGTATATTTGTCAAACACAAAAAATGGATGATAGCATAAATAATTTCTTGGTTGATAATAATCGAATAAGATTTTTGGAGAATCGTGACAATAATTCACGATGGTGCGATCCAGATGTAAGTTCCTATCCAATATGAAAGCAAATTTGTTATTGAAATAATCTTGTGTTTATACAGAATGGAAGTAATTCGGAATGTCCTGACTTGGATTTTGTGTACAGTGACACAGATACGTATCCAAATGAAATTGCAGAGCTTTACAGCTATACAGAACAGAATGAATTTCATCTTAATATTAAGGCAAGTAATCAAGGTTCTTTGCACAAATCAATTTTCATTTTTATAAATATACACCATATGTTATAGGCATTTGAAGAACAAATGTCCCTTTACAAGCTGCAACCAAGCTGGCAAAAATTGACAGAGATCCAACGAAAAGATGTCATACTCAAATTACTTGATCAATTGGATTTGTCAAAAAAGAATCTTCGAATGCAAGCAGCTCGGACCATTTTATATTTGGCACAAGGTTGCTTTTGCGAAGTACAGTCGGACCACGAACAACAAGAATGGACACGGGAAAATGTTAAACTACTCTATAACATGGGAATATTTCCGGTTTTTGTAGAACTTTTAAATTTTGAGATTGAGTATGAATTTTTAAATTGATTCATTCTAGACATGGCTGATGTAATATCGCTCTCTTTTTTATATATATATAGAAATTCTAGTGCAACAAACATTGCGATGCGAAAAGTAGCCGTTTCATTAGCCGATTCCGTAGATTTAAGAATCATTCTTTCCGTTCTGTACATAATGACTGAGACAATTCGCTGCGAAAAGGTGGTCGGATCTAGTGATTTTGAGGACATTTCTGATACATTTACTAAAGAATTGAGTAACTAGATAAAAGCAAAAAAATGAAAGTGATTACTTTTACAAACAAGTTTTCTATACAACATTTTAGATGCCCCGATGGCAGACGAACTTTTAGCGGTAAAACTATTGAATATGATTACAAGGTTTTGTGGCGGTACTGCACCACATTTTCCAATGAAGAAAGTATTGCTGTTGCTTTGGAAGATTTCATTAGTTAGCTTGGGTGGCATGGATACACTTCGAAAACTAAAGGGTAAACATTTAATTTGTTTTCAGTGATTTAACACACAAATATGATCTTTAATTTCTATATACTACGCAGATGAATACAGAAGTCAAAATAATTTAAGCCCTGTGAAGGAGGACACATTAGAAGTGGCCAGGTAACGATATAATTTTTGTTAATTCTTACTTGAATTTGTTTTACTTATAAAAACATGTCACATACTCACTTATTTTTCGATTTATTTTACTAGAAATATGCGTCCAAGTTCACCACCAGCCACTGTAGCTGACATGTTGGATAATCAGAATGCGAAACGGAATCGTCCCTTCAGACGAGTACGTACGAACGATATATTGCAAGAGGTAGAGATGCTTTCTAGTTCTTCCCATTCTATTCATTGTGTGTGTTAATTTGGAATTTACTAACAATTCACACTTAATTTTTGAAATGATTTTATATATGTTTTCCACAACGATTTACACAACGATTCTAGTCTCAAATTTAATGTTTTAAACAGTGAAGTAAGCGAATAGAAAAAAACGAAAAAAAATAAGCTAAAATGTTCAAGCGATCCAAATATTCAAATAATCAACAATTAAAGTGATAAAAGTAATATTGACGGAAGAATATTCCGTATACTTTTATCCAAATTTCCTGATGTGTTGAAAGTGTTCTTTATTTGGCATTGGTTTTGAAATCTTGATTTGTTCTTTGACACCCTCACACACATACACACATCCGCTACTGTAGACAACTCGTGAGAGTGGAGAGTGTCGTCAACATATATTTATTTGTCATCAATTTTTATTATTGTAGAGAAAACAATCGATACAAGTAAATATTTAGTGATGCTAAATTATGCCTTTTTATACGTATAACATTGATGAAAATGATGCGAGTACATTCGCTAAATTTCCACAATTCATGGTCCGCAAAGAACAGCTTTTGTTGTGTTCATTTGGTAATATAGTGCGTTTCAACCAAAATGCACTTGCACATACTTTAAATGCGAGGTGAAATTAATGCATTCACAATCAAAAATAGAATAAATACAAAACAAAAGTTGTTCCGTGAATTTTAATTAGTAGAAATCGTTTATTCATTGTAATTGTGATTCATTTATTAACGGTAGTAATCAACTTCATCTTGCATTATTAATACCTTGCATTTGTAGGGAATTAGAATATTAGTATCAATGTGCAATAAGCACTTTTTTTCAATTGTGAGACGTTTATATACACCCCCTATACACATTTCTCTAATCTATCTCTGTTTTTCTATACTTATTTTTATTACTTTTGAAAAGTACTTGCCGAAATTGGCAAAATAGTTCAAATTAACAAGCAAAATAGTTCAATCGGCAAAGTGATATCTATTTATTAATGTATTTTATAAAATCAAAAAGATTTCTTCTAAATAATTTGAGATTTTTTTAATTAAAAAAATCTCAAAAACTTAAAATGAAATCCGTATATAAAATTACAGTGTATATTTTCCTAATGAACATAATCATGTAATTTACTGAAGCATGCACCGTATATGGCAAACAACATTCATGACAAACACTCTATAGACTTAGTCGAACCAATGTCATCTCTCATCATTCAAAACTTATTTCTTATAGTTCATCATGTTTTGTTTTAAAAAAACACCAAAAATTGTAAATGAAAAATGAAGACTGAAGCATACACTACCGATCAAAAGTTTGGGTACGATTTACGATTTTCATTAAAATTTCACCAATTTTTTGATCGGTAGTGTCAATAATACAAATTTGCTATTTATTGCATTTGAGTAAGAATACATACACACAAAGCTCATGCATGGTGTGAATTCATCTGTCTCCACCAAACAAACATTTTTCATACTTCAATTTCGATTGAATAAAAAAGAAACGAGAGAAAGGGTGCCTGTGGAATTTTCAATTTATTTTGTGACTTTCATATCATTCTTTTTTGTTCAAATCAATTCATTTCATTCATTGATTTTGTCTCATTAGTTTCATTTTTCTTTAGATGAAAGTATCCAAATTGAATATGGCTTTGAATGTTCGATTCATATTAGTTATCTTTGTGCATTTTCATAGATGTCTTTTTTTATTTATACATTCGTCGTCACATTATTAATTAAATTGTTTTATTTGGCTGCTTATATAACATCTTTTATTGACTGGACATGGGTATGAACATAAACGAAAACAAAACAGCAAAGTTTAATCAAGCAAAGCTCGCTGGATGAACAGGAACAAATGACAATGGAGCAACAGGAAAACGATGAAGAAATCAATGATGAATATCGACCGACAACAAATGGTAGCTTAAAAAATTGCCTTTCTATTATTAATTAATTCTTATTGATTCTTTTTGGATTATTTGTCGATTATTTTAAATTAATTGTGTTCTTTTCTTTTGTGATTCTCCCTTTAGGTAGCGATATCTCCACTTCTATGGAAACAAATACAGAAGGTGAAGAAGGTGCTGTTAGCTCAAATGGGACAATTGCATCCACAAATGCAAATGCAGCGTCAACATCCATGCCACTCACTTGGAATCAAAGTAAATTTTTAAGTCTTACATTGACGTACAGTTCTAACCTTTTTAGTTTTTTCTTTCAGTTATCAAATTGCCATGGGCTCCCAAGGTTCGTCAAAAGGACATTGACCAATTTCTATATGATTCACGTAATAAGTTTATTGGTTACTCATTCACCGGTGACCATGAAAGTTTGGCTGGACTTCCACAACCCATCCACGAAGGATATAACATTCTTAAAAGGGTAAATTTTTCTTAATCAATCTAAATTATCTATTTCAATCACATTTTGACACTTAATACTCTGTAAAATAGAAGGGATTAAATATTAATCATTTGGGATTTTTCATCAAAATAATCCAAAAGGATTAAATGTTAGCACTATAGGATTAAATTTGAATGCTTACTAAAAGTAGCTATAATAAGACCACGATGACATCCCGCACAATACCCATGGCTTACGGCCGAGAGTTTCGTACTTGATCTTGGATAGAACGCGATGTTCCTTGTATAGGTTGTTGATTCTGAAAGTAATGATTATAATAATGTGAACTTCTAGTTGAACATAGTTAGTGTGCATTTGAATATTCCATAATGAAATTTTCATTACAATTTGATAAATTATTTTTTTTTTACCTGAATGGGTGCTGTAGGTCTTTGAAATACGGGGTGTAGTTCTTCATTCATTACAGCACACCGTCCTATGTCTGAATTGTTTAACAAATAACAAATTCATTACTTATTGTTCATATTGAGAAATCGATTCAATCAAATGCACAAACCTTTGTAGAGTATATTGCGACCGGCGTTTGTATCACGATTCCATGTGATAGTACGACCAATTGTCCGTTTTTCTTCGTAGCGTCGAAATTTTGATGCCATACGTGGTCCAGGATGAGGTCGATGTTTTCGTTGTTTCGTCAAAAGATGATTACTCTTTCGTGAGTCGATGGGACCATGTGGTTTATTTCCTACTGGCAATGGTTCGCATCCACGGCAAGTAGAGTATCGATACTTCATCTTCACACGATCACCTATCTTCGGAAATTCCAAGTCTTTGAAACAATATGAGCACACCTTTGTTGTTCGAAATTCATCTACTTTGACCACTATACAGTTGCGCCGTCGCTTCATTTTCTCAAATAAATCGCGTACTTTCGACCGAATATAACCTATTTTTTAAATAAATTCACAAATAGTATTTGGTAAACTCAATATAATGGTGTTATAACTTCAATCATAAATAAATAAATAACCTTTTGCTTCTGAGTCGGCAGCAATGAAATTTTCACCCACAAATACGAATGTTTCTTTGCCATCGATCAACCAGTCTGCCAACTTGTCGAGTGTCTTATTCGTATCGATGTACTGTAGAAAATCTTGAAGTGCATATTCGTACTGCGTGTATGCTTCAAACTTCTCATTAAAATGCCGTAAAATATGATCGACATATCTATCAATGTTGTCTGAATGTGGACCTGGTTGCTCATCAAAAGATTCTCGGTGAATACGCATTTTTTCGTCGATGTTGAAAGTCAACTTTTTGCGCCATTTATTTCGCTTGCAATAGCCGATCATGTGATTATATTGACCCGATGTCAATCGAACGAGTTTTTCGCGGCGATTTTCCTTGTTCGGATCATTGTAATTGGTCACACAAACACCGCCAATCACCAGCTGAAGACCTGGATCGAGACCATACACTAGTTGCGCTTTCAATAACTTTTCTTGAGTCTCCCGCATGATTTCATTTTCGTCTTTTACAACGACGAATTTTGTGCGTTCCATCCAGAATGACATAGCCACTCCATCCGTTTGAATCGAATTTCGGAATTTTATAGTGGCACAATTGTCATTTTGCGTTGTTCTTTCGATGGCATCAATGTCAAAATACGTTCGCCAAAGCACGTCCCAATCAGCGGCTTTTAATTCCTTACACTGCTTTGTTGTTCCATCACGTCTAATGAGACGTGGGTTTGGGCATCCGATCTCTCTCAGCATGAAATAAAGACCTTTGTTATCGATGCGAATGTGATGTCTTTTAAACGTTGAAACTGGAAAAACGGTGAAATTTCTATAATCACGGGGCTCTGTTCTTTCGCCTCGTCGCAATGCCGCCTCTCTATTTCGTTGGTGATCACAAATGTACCTATTGTATGATTGACGAGGAAATCAATAGAAATTGCATTGTTTAACAAATGAAACAAAAATGATTGTGTGCAACCGATTGATTTGAAATAATGTAAAAATATTAACGGCTTACCGTTGCAAATGTAGAAATATTGGTACGTATTTGAACCAATTGTCTGCCGTCGTCATCGTACAAAAATATGCTCGACCATCTCCGAAACGAATTGGATGAAATTAATTTTTTAGTATTTCAATTAGATACGGATCTGGTACGCGCTCTGATTTCTTTTTGAATAGATATTGCATGGTATCGTTGATCTGTTGCTTGGTCGCATTTTGGTGATCAAAAAACTTCCAAAGACGAGAATATGCGTGATAGCAAACGTTATTCTTGAAATTTGTGTAGTACATTTGTGATGCGTAGTTGAATATATTTGATATTTTCTCAATTTTTGGAGCTCTCACGAAATATTTACGACACAAACGATAAATCATTCTGGACACCTTGTATCCACAGTTCATTACGGCATCTTCATCGTCGCTATCAAAATTTTGCGTCCCTCGGAAAAAATCATCGAGGAAGTTCTTATCCACAAATTGACTGAAGTAATCTTCGATTTCACCGTATCGATTGCAATCACAACGCACTTGAAAAAATTTGAAAATCAAGTAATGAACACTGAGTGCACCCAAAATGAAACATCGTGTCATTTCAAGCACATAATCGCTTATCAAATCACGAAATTCATCTGTTTTCATTGGCCGATTGTGTTTCAAGCCTTTTTTGCACTTTTCTTTATCGTTTGATTTTCACAAATATTTTTCCTCTTTACTGGCTTTGGCTTAGAAGCCGATGCTGCAGGCTTCCTTTTCTTTCCAGCCATCGTGATCGAGTGATAGTATACCGAAGAGCTCTCTTATATTTATAGTCTAAAATGTGTTGATTCAGAAATATATTATTTTTGATGAATTTATAGGTTCCCGTTATTTTAAAAACGGGCCTCTAAAAATTCATCAAAATATACAATCACCGATTCATGTGATCGAACGGGTTCACAATAAACAAACTAACAATGCGTTCATTTCACTCAGAGTATTGCTCAGCGCTGCTGCCATCCAGAGCATATTAAAATATCTTGCTGAGAATGCGTCGTCCGTCGCATGCGAAGGTACGTAGCAGTTTATACAACACGGCGAACAACAATACATGCATTGTTCTCTATTCAATCGTTTGAATGTTTTGAGTCACATAATCGTGAAGAGAACAATGGATTCATTCTTGTTCGCTGTGATGTATAAACTGCTACGTACGTTCGCATTCGACGGACGACGCATTCTCAGCAAGATATTTTAATATGCTGTGTATGGCAGCAGCGCTGAGCAATACTCTGATTTCACTCTTGCATAAATTTAATTTCACAATTCTTCGAGGCAAACGAATCAAAAACTTTATTGAAAATCATTCATCAACAAAGCAAGAATATTCTCACATGTGTTCTCAATGTGTGTTTCGGTTGTTCACGATTCTGATGGATTTCAAAAACTCAACAACATATTTGCCATGTTACCCTTTACAAAAAAAATTACTGAGCACAGAAGCGGTTATCTCAAGGAATATGTGCTGATATGGATGCAAACCGATCTCAACTTTTTCTTGAAAACCATCCGCTAATCAATTTTTTACTTTGTTTTCATGAAATCATCTTTTAATAAACAAACTAACAATGCATTCATTTCACTCTTGTATAAATATAATTTCACAAGTCTTCGATGCAAACTAACCAAAAACTTTATTGAAAATCATTCGTCACTAAAGCAAGAATATTCTCAAGCATTTTACAATGTGTGTTTCGGTTGTTCACGATTCTGATGGATTTTGAAAACTCAGCAAAATGTTCGCCATGTTACGCTTCACAAAAAAAAAATCGGTGAGCTCAAAAGAGTGAGGTTATGAAATGGAATATGTGCTGATATTAATGCAAACCGATCCCAACTTTTATTGAGAACCATCCGCTAATCGCCCCTTCTTCACTTTGTTTCCACTAGCTATGAAACATTTTATCAGAAATCTAAGAAATAGCACAGAAGCGTTGGAAAAAAGGATTTTATTGAAAATCATCTTTTAATAAACAAACCAATCGAAACCGTGAAAGGTTATGTTTGTAATCGAAAGACAATGACAGGCGTTTGAAGTTTCTTGTAAATGTCAATACAATATGAAACAGTGTTCCACCAGAATGATTATTCATTTAATATTCAAACAATTAATACAATTTAACTGTTTTACAAAATTATTGTATTTTGCATTTAAAATGAATACAAAAAATCTTTCTAGCACCTTCTTATTTCATTTTAATCCATTTGGATTTTTTATCAAATAAATCCGAAAGGATTATATTTTAATCCCATCAAAATTACAGTGTAGTTTTGATTTTTCAGCATATGTACACTAGTCTATCTGATATTCATATAAAACGAGAAGAGGAAATTGCTCGAAATCCACTTGTTAACGTTGAAAATGATATTCCAATGACACCCGCTGAAATATTGTACCAAGCGATATTGCCGAATCTTCCACAGTGCATGATTGCGCTTCTTAAAATACTTTTGGCCGCATCGCCTACATCAAAAGCAAAAACAGAGAGCATAAACATAATGGCTGACGTGCTCCCTGAAGAGATGCCGTAAGTTACCAAAAAATATTATGCAAAATAATAAAGAATTGACCAAAATGCTTGCTTCCTACAATAAAAATTAACTTGGCACGATTTGACAAATCTCTTTTACTCCATTCCATAGTGTAACAGTCACGCAATCAACAAAATTAGGCATCGATGTGAATCGCCACAAAGAAATTATTATAAAAGCAGTATCAGCCATTCTGTTGCTCTATTTGAAACATTTCAAAATCAATCATGTGTATCAATTCGAAGTGATGTCGCAGCACTTGGTATTTGCCAACTGTATTCCATTGGTATTGAAATTCTTCAATCAAAATCTTTTGGGTTATGTTGGATCAAAGAATGTGTAAGTGTATGAAATTGTTCGATTGTTAGTGCACTAATCACATCGTTATCATTTGATAGGATTCCGATATTGGATTTCCCAGCTTGTATTATCGGTGATTCACCGCCAGAATTGACGTCTGACAGTTTGGTCATTGGTGACACAGCGCCGTATTCTTGGCGCAACATCTTTTCGTGTATAAATTTGTTGCGAATTCTTAATAAACTAACGAAATGGAAACATTCGCGTGTCATGATGTTAGTTGTATTCAAAGCGGCACCAATTTTGAAGCGTACATTAAAAGTGAGACATGCTTTGATGCAATTGTATGTTTTAAAACTTTTAAAAATGCAAACCAAATATTTGGGCCGACAGTGGCGCAAAACTAATATGAAAATTATTAGTGCTATATACGAAAAAGTGCGACATCGACTTAACGATGATTGGGCTTTTGGAAACGGTAACTTTCACTATTTTTACGAAACAATTTTTTTTCCAACATAATAATTTGAATCGATTAAATTTTCCAATTTTTTAATAAGACTTGGATGCAAGACCGTGGGATTTTCAAATGGAAGAATGCACGTTACGCTCATGTGTTGATCGTTTCAATAATCGTCGATATTTATCGGCTCAAGCTTATTTGAATGCGAAAAATGTTTTATCTAATACTCACGTTTCACCACATCTCCTAACAAATACAAATAACACAAATATTCAAGTGTCTGCGACTACATCAAATATGACAAATCAAATTGGCTTCGCAGCTGGTGGAGTTGGTACGATTGGTAATAGCAATGGAAATGGTAAGACATTTCTCTAAATATTCTTATTGTTACTTGAATGGATTTTAATTTTTTTAGGTTTATCCAATAATTGCGGAATCTCACAAATAGGTAATGGAAATGGGTCAGCAAATGAATTTAATGAGCCATATGACAACAGTAATTTAATTGATATGGCAGTTGGATCTAATTTCATAAACAGTGGCCAAGAACGAAACTTATATGCATCTGGCTACAGTGGTTGGAATATGGAAAATGTTGATTTAAGTGAAAATTTTAAAAAGCACTACGAAGTATGGTTACAGAAGGAGGTGTTTAACATCAAAATCGATTGGGATTCACTGAAAACAGTTTATGACATTGAAATGGACGACAATAAAAAAATAGATGATTATTCAAAAGTCAAAAGTGATTCTAGCGTTGTGATTCAGTCCGCAGAATAGGCAACAAATAAAACTAGGGGCATTTTACTATATGCGAATATCTGAATCAAAATATAATTTTTTTATGCTAACATTTTACACAAAAACCATTTTAATTACGATCAAATAATAAACTTGGAGAATAATTTCTGTCAGTATGATAAACTAATATATCAACACTAGTATGATTTTTCAAATGCACGATCCGAAAAATAGAAAATGCCCCTAAAATAAAATTAAATCTTTATCATTTTGCTTGGATTGAATTATTTCTTTAATGAAAAATTACATCGATCTCAATGATAGGAAAAGGAGCGAGTACGACGTTTCCCCCTTTGCTAAGCGAAATAAATCCGATATGCGGCGCTGATTTAAATGTCACTCTATGTCATTCCACAATGATACATTTTTTGGCTTGACAATATATAAGCTCTTCATTCAACATGCATAATTTTTGAACGGTCGAGTAAAAAAAAGAAACATATCATAAAATATTCTTCTTACGTTTATTTTAAATTTATTTGTTTAAAAATAACAATAATTTCAATTTTTTTTTTCATAGATTGAACAAGAATCTAATGTAAAAAGTAATACCAATGCGACACCTACCGTTAAAATAGAAAAGGAAACTTATTTGGAATTGTAACATTTTGGTCCGCCATAACAGCATCTTCGTTTTGCTTCTCTGTGATTGGTCAAGTAAAACGAAGATGCTGTCATGGTGGACAAAAATGCTACAATGGATACCAACTAAGTTTCTTTTTGCATTTTTACGGTAGGTGTCGCATTGTCATTACTATTTACATTGGATTCTTATTTAATCGATGAAACATTTTTTGTTGAAATTATTGTAATTTATAAACAAATTAATTTTTTTATAAAAAAAAAATTTAATAAATTTTTTAATGAAAAATGTTAGAAAAATATTTTATGACATGTTTTTTTTTCAACGATTCAATAATTATGAATGTGTATGCATTTTAAATGAAGAGCTTATATATTGTCAAGCCAAAAAAGTATTATTGTGAAATGACAGAGTGACATTTACATCAGCGCCGTATATCGAATTAATTTCGCTTGGCATAGGGGGAAATATTTTGACAGATAGTACTCGATCCTTTATTTTCAAGCAATTCAATACACTATCAACTGGATACAAATCGAAATAATATTGGACGTATAAATTAAAACGTAAGGATTCGTATCTAACTTCATATCTATCACACATGCAATTGTTTGGGCAGTGAAAGCTGTTGTATCTTAAAGAGCGTCAAAAAATCTACTAAATTCGATCTGTCATGTGAAAACAATTCTGCACACACAACTTTTTTATTACGATTAAAATGTCGAATTACGTTCCAACAAAACAGCATTTGCGGGAAGCAATGCTTTTGTACTTTAATCAAAAGAAAAGTGCTTCTGAATGTCATCGTTTGTTGTCGGAAACGTATCCCAAATATTCAATTTCAATAAGTGTATGTGAAAAATGGTTTAAAAGATTCAGAAGTGGTGATTTTGACACGGAAGACAAAGAGCGTCCAGGCCAGCCGAGAAAATTTGAAGATGAAGAATTGGAATTGTTACTCGATGAAGATCCATGCCAAACGCAAGAAGAACTCGCTAAATCATTGGGAGTAACTCAAGCAACCATTTCACAACGTTTAAAAGCATTAGGGTTCATCCAAAAATTTGGAAACTGGTTGCCGCACGAATTGAAACCGAGAGATGTTGAAAGGCGTCTTACCATCTGTGAAATGCTGCTCGCAAGACAAAAAAGCAAGTCATTTTTGGATCGAATTGTTACGGGCGATGAAAAGTGGATCCCCTACGATAACCCAAAGCGAAAAAAATCATACGTTCGACGAGGCGTACCAGGACCATCGCAAGCAAAGGAAGATATTCATGGTTTCAAGGTAGGGTATCGTGTATTATGAGCTGCTGGAACCGGGTGAAACAGTCACAGGAGATCGCTATCGACTACAACTGATACGATTGAAGCGAGCATTGGACAAAGATCGGAAAGAATGGAGGAAAAAACACAACCGGTTAATTGAACGCTCTAGAATAAAAACAACTTATTGTTTACTCGCATATCGAATCGCGACTCAAAACGGTTGCATATCAAAGCGAGACAATATTTCGTTACCAAAGGAATAAAGAACATTAACTTTTTATTATACAAAATGTGTAAGTTTCGTTTTGTGCTGATAACTAGCTACTGTTCTGCCTTGTTTTAGTAACAGAATTTTGTTTCGCTTTGATATGCGACGTAGTTTAACGGTATAAACATTTCGCACTTTCAAAGGCTCGGTATAGAACACACAAAAGGTGAAAAAACTTCTTATTTTCAAATCTCATATACAATCAAATTTTTATTGCGCAGTTGTGTGTGAATAGAATGTCCGTTGTAACGATTTGGGTGACAAAGATGGCAAATTTTTATGTTCTGATCACATCACATGATATAGACCATTTAGTGGTGTTCGAGAATTGAGAAAAAAAAATAAGATTTTTGTTTTACTTTTTATTCTATACGGAGTCTCCGAGAGTTTCATATAAACTCGCCTTGCAATAGCCAAATGACGCCTTTTGATTCAATCACGATTAGTATTCGCTTACTATTCAATAGGCATCACATAGCAAGTTTATATGAAACTCTCGGAGACTCGGTATAGAGCACTCAAACAGTGAAAAAAGTCCAGATCGTGATTTAGATGATATGGAATGCGATTTTTTTCATTCTGATTTCACCAGGTGATATAGAAAATTGAGTAGTATTTGAGAATTGAAGAAAAAAAAATAATTATTTTTTTCATTTTTCGCCAATTTTTGCCATCTATGTGGGAAGCTTGTATGAAAAACACGGAAGACCGCTGAAATGACAAATGCAAAATATGTGCGGACGTACGACAGTGCCACTGATGCCTATATCATCTGGTGCGACTGATTGTAAAAATTTGCTGTTTCTGTCACCCAAATCGTTGTTCAATGCTATCTCGCTCACCCTTACATGTAATTAATATAATTATATATATTAATTACTTATATTAATTATTATATTAATTACACACAACTGCGCAATAAAAATTGCTGATACAAGCCATTTGATTGTATATGAAATTTGAGAATAAGAAGTTTTTTTCACTTTTTGTGTGTTCTGTACCGAGCCTTCGAGAGTGTGAAATATTTATACCGTTAAACTGCGTCGCATATCAAAGCGAAACAAAATTCTGTTACTAAAACAAGGCAGAACAGTAGCTAGTTATCAGCACAAAACGAAACTTACACATTTTGTATAATAAAAAGTTAATGTTCTTTATTCCTTTGGTAACGAAATATTGTCTCGCTTTGATATGCAACCGTTTTGAGTCGCGTTTCAATATGCGAGTAAACAATAAGTTGTTTTTATTCTAGAGCGTTCAATTCTTCTTCATGACAATGCTCGGCCACATGTTGCAAATGTCGTCAAACAATACTTGGAAACAACTAATTGGGACTTCTTACCCCACCCGCTGTATTCACCAGACATTGCTCCTTCTGATTACTACTTGTTTCGAACGATGCAAAACGAATTGGCAGGCAAACGCTTCACTTCTTCGGAGGAAATCGCAAATTGGGTCGGTTCGTGGTTTCGTTCAAAACAACAACCATTCTTTTGGCACGGAATCCATGAATTGCCTGGAAAATGGGAAAAAGTAGTGGCTAGCGATGGACAATACTTTGAATAAAAAAATGTGTACCATCCTCTTGAAATAAATGCCCAATTTCAGTGAAAAATCCTTACGTTTTAATTTATACTTCCCATACAAAACAATTGTTAGATACAATGCCCAAAAACATAACATTATTATGTAAGAAAAATCCACAAAATAATAAAAAAAATAAAAATAGAACCGAAAAATATATAAGAATAAAATGTGTTTTGATTCTGGAGTTAGCATTTGTAGCATACAGTCTCGTATACGTATATGCTTGTAAGTATATATGCAAATGTGTAAGTGAATTTTCATTTGAGCACGTCAAAAAGCATTTTTCGCTTTCATTGCGCGCATACAATATACTAACGTCTCATTTTCACTGTCTTCGCTTTTCCTATGTGCATGTAATGGTGAAAGACATCGTTTTCGCCTTCGGAAATACACATCATGCACACACGACTATAACTTGTATAGTTTTTTTTATATATGTATATCTGCAGAAACCTAGCTATTTAATGTTTCAAAGAAAATTAAACTAATAAGGCTTAGTAAACCAAAAAAGCTTGGCTTTGTGTATATTTTATTCTGGAAGCAAAACGTTGACTGTTGAATTCAGAAATAAAATGAAAACAAAATACAAAAGTGCTTCACACACAGTATTTGAAACAATTTCAATTTAAATTATTGAATGCGGAATTTTTGACGTACTCAAGAATATTCAATATTGTGGGTGATAAATGGATGTAAATAAAAGTGTTTTCATAGATTAATGCATTACAAAAGCGAAAATTGAAATAAATTGAAAGTATTTTATTTATTAAACAATGTTTAATTCAACCGAAACGATGCATTATCCTCAATGGTTTATTAACCATAATTGAATTGTTTGACAACAAAAAGTGTATGAAATATAAGTTCTCCGGAAGAACGGTTTCTTTGCCGTTCATGATTCAAGAATTATTCAAGAGAGTTCAAGTTTATTGTTGTTCTTGTTGTATTAAAACAGGAAATGTATTTGCCAACATCAACGTTATTTGAAATGGTTAAACATATTTTTGCATAAAATTTAACGATTTTTTAATGATTTTTTTAAATATTCGGTAAAAACAAATATGATTGAGAATAGCATTCTGATGCATTAAAAGTGCGATTTCAACCAATAATTGTAATTTGCATCAAGTTTGAAAACATGTCACAAATATAAAATTTCATTTATCTTACACACGTGTGTGTTGAGATCTGGTCATGCGTACATCGATGCAATTCCCCACCGTTCCATGCGCTAGTACTGACACATTCTCCAGATAATTTTTTCATGTCTATAGTTGGCTTTCACCTTGGAAAAGAATACTAACATTTGTATGAGTTTCAATATCATATATAGTTGTGTACGAATCTCAGCAAAGAGAAAACTCACTCAGAAATGTGATGAAAACCCAAATAAATCCCATTATATGGCAGAGCAATTGCAAAACCAAATTTAAAGCAAAAAAATAATAAATGTTCGTTTTAAATATTCACAGTATTTAATGTGTTCATACCATAATAAAGGTAACAATGATTCATCGGTGAGTTTTATTTGCCAGATCTTTTCAAATACATTGTTATTCCTAAAAAAATGGTGTAATTTTATGTCATTTTATCTCCATCAACTAAAGTGCTCAAAAAATGAATCAACATGCCAATAATTTGAACTGAAAAAGTCAATTGAAAAAGTTGAAGATAAGAAAAGTAAACAAAATAAAATTGGTCCATTTGTGGGTGAAAAGAAGAGATAAAAAGTTGCAAGAACATTTTGTATCAGTGCATATTACTGATTAAACCATTCCTCCACACAGTATGGCTTCGGTATGTTCATCATCGAATTTTGATTATACAAGCATTTTTATTTGTGTAAAAAAAAGAAATAAACTTTATATAATGGTTCCCCTACATATTCATAGGTAGCCGCTTGGCTGCCATTTGCGCGTGCTGCAGCCATCGGATGGGTGCCAATTGCTACGCACCCACTTCCACCGCCACCAATTCCAAAAGATCGACGGAAAACCGATGACGAAAAATTGCTTATCAATGTGTCTGGCCGACGATTTGAAACGTGGCGAAACACATTGGAAAAATATCCAGACTCTCTGCTTGGCTCAAACGAACGCGAATTCTTCTATGATGAAGAGGTCAAAGAGTATTTTTTTGACCGCGATCCAGATATATTTCGACACATTCTAAACTACTATCGAACTGGTAAAGTGCTTACTTATCGATTATTTTAAATCTTATTCTTTTCTTTTGTGATTCTCCCCTTAGGTAAATTGCACTATCCAAAACACGAGTGCTTAACAAGCTATGACGAAGAGTTGGCATTTTTTGGTATTATGCCGGATGTAATAGGTGATTGTTGCTATGAAGATTATCGGGATCGAAAACGTGAGAATGCTGAACGATTGATGGATGATAAATTATCAGAGAATGGTGATCAAAATTTGCAACAATTGACAAACATTCGACAAAAAATGTGGCGAGCCTTCGAAAATCCACATACATCGACTTCCGCTCTAGTTTTTTATTATGTGACTGGTTTTTTTATTGCCGTTTCGGTAATGGCAAATGTTGTCGAAACAGTTCCATGTGGATATCGTCCGGGACGTGCTGGAACACTGCCATGCGGCGAAAGATACAAAATTGTTTTCTTTTGCTTAGACACAGCCTGTGTCATGATTTTCACTGCCGAATATTTATTGCGACTATTTGCTGCCCCGGACCGTTGTAAATTCGTGCGAAGTGTCATGAGTATCATTGATGTGGTGGCCATTCTACCATACTACATTGGATTGGGAATCACCGATAACGATGATGTGTCTGGTGCATTTGTCACATTGCGTGTATTTCGTGTGTTTCGAATTTTTAAATTTTCACGACATTCACAAGGTTTACGAATTTTGGGTTACACACTCAAATCATGCGCCTCTGAATTAGGCTTTCTTGTATTCTCATTAGCAATGGCTATCATCATATTCGCCACTGTTATGTTCTATGCGGAGAAAAATGTCAAAGGAACTAATTTTACATCAATACCAGCTGCTTTCTGGTATACCATTGTAACAATGACAACGCTTGGGTAAGTTTATCAAAATTAATATTATCCAAATAGCCTAGTAACACTCGAAATGAATGGCAGAAAATCTATACGATTTTATAAAATGCATTTTGTATGTGTTCTTTTCTTGCTCATTTTTACAATTCAACCATTGCATCTGATTTTGATGATTATTATCATATCATCAATTAGCTACGGTGATATGGTGCCAGAGACAATAGCAGGCAAAATTGTTGGTGGCGTGTGCTCTCTGAGTGGAGGTAAGTAGTTCGATGAGCAAATTAAAAGCAACGGTTATGATTCCTAAACTATATTAATTGTTTCTACAGTGCTTGTCATCGCATTGCCTGTGCCCGTCATCGTATCCAATTTCAGTCGAATCTATCATCAAAATCAAAGAGCAGACAAACGCAAAGCACAGCGCGTAGGTTTCATTAAAAAAAAAAAACAGATCAAAAGAAATCTTATAAAATCCATTCTTTTTTTTAAATTATTCACATTGAAATGCAGAAAGCGCGTCTGGCCCGTATTCGTATTGCAAAAGCATCAAGTGGTGCTGCATTCGTCAGCAAGAAAAAAGCCGCAGAAGCTCGATTGGCAGCACAAGAATCTGGTATCGAGCTGGATGATACATACCGTGAAGAGGATATTTTTGAATTACAACATCATCACTTGTTAAGATGTTTGGAGAAGACGACGGTTAATTCATTTGCACTTAAAAATGTTTGCCCCAAATTATTTTAAGGTTACTTAAAAAAAAAAAACGTTTTCTTATCCCCCGCAGGATCGTGAATTTGTCGAATTAGAAATTCCATATAATGGTCAACCCAAGCGACCAGGCTCACCATCACCACTAGCAAGTCCTACGCATTCCACAAGCAGCACTATGGGCTTGATACAGTCATGTTGTGGCGGATGTTGTTCGCAAAGATATCAGGTATGCTTTTTTGCATTTATACATTTAAATTTGCAACGCTTGCTTCTATTTTAACAATTTAAATTGCATATGCATCCGTGAGTCAGCATAAATCTTTCAGTTTTTTTTTCAATTTGAAAATATCTTTTTACTAATTATTAACGAAAACAAATGCTTCATAAAAATTAAAAAAAAATGATTATTTATTAAAAGTTATATTTGCACGTTTCACCATTTGTTTGTATTTTGATGTTTCATCATTACAATTTATTTTCTTTCAAAAGAGTTTTTTTTAAAATAAAAAACAATTTAAAAAAATTCATCAGGAGAAAACTCGATGAAAATCTGTTCCAGTTGTGAAGGATTTTTGTAATACTTAAAATAAACATCATAAAACTGAATTATTTGCCTCTAATCTTAATTTTTGTGATTAGCCATCACACAAAACCAAAATGACATTCACAGAAAATGAATTTGATAAATTGACTAACTCTGGTGATTTATTGAGAAATAATCATTACAAATTACAGAGTTTCTACACAAATATATCAAAAGATATTTTCTATAAAGTACACTGTAAAATAGAAGGGATTAAATATTAATCATTTGGGATTTTTCATCAAAATAATCCAAAAGGATTAAATTTTAGCAATGTAGGATTAAATTTAAATACTTACTAATTGTAGCGAATTGTAGGACCACGTTGAAATCCCGCACAAAACCCAGGGCCTACGGCCGAGAGCTCCGCGCTTGATTCAGATGAGAACGCAATGTTCGTTGTGTTGTTTGTTGATTCTGAAAATGACAATGATTATATCAATTTCTAAATATGAACGTAAATTAAAAGTATGTGTAGCTTCAATTGATTAGATAAATTCAAAGCAGAATTATTGAAATGATTACATACTTGATTGGATGCTGCTCGTCTTGATTGTCGAGCTCGTGCTGGTGGTGCTGGCGGTGGATCTCCTCCTCCTGCATTTTCTTCTTCTTCTTCAACATGCCGTTGAAATGCTGGATGTAGCTCTATATTCATAACAGCACACCATCCTGTTTGTTTGTAAGGAATAAAAAAAACGAATTCATTGTCTATTGTTCATTGACTTGTTCATATTAAACTGAGAGCATATCAATTTAACAAACACGAACCTTTGTAGAGAATGTTACGACCTGCATTTGCATCACGATTCCAGGTGATAGTACGCCCAATTCGAGTTTTCTCTTCATATTTACGAAATTTTGATGCCATACGTGGACCATCAGTACGGGGACGATGTTTTCGTTGCTGCGTCAATTTGCGATTGCTTTTTCGTGATTCAATCGGACATTGGGCTTTTCCAAGCACATTTTCTCCACACAATGGTTCGCATCCATGGCATGTGAGATAGCGATATTTCTCCTTTACTTTGCCCCTTTTTGTCGGTTTTTCAAGTTCACGGAAGCACAACGAACATAATTTGGTCGTCCGAAATTCGTCCACCTCGACCACTGTACATTTACGGCGACGTTTCAACTTCTCGAACAAATCTCGCACCTTCGATCGAATATATCCTCGGGCTGGTGAATCTGCCGCAATGAAACGATCACCGACAAATATGAACGTTTGCTTACCATCGATGAGCTTGGTTGCATATGCATCAAGTGCTCTATTCGTGTCAATGTACTGGAGAAATGCTTGCAAAGCGTATTCATACTGTGTGTATGCTGTGAACTTTTCTTCAAAATGACGCAAAATATGATCAGCATATGATTTATGGTCTTCGGCTCGTGGACCAGGCTGCTCATCAAATGACTCACGATGTAGACGCATCTTTTCATCGATTTCAGTTGTCAACTTTTTGCGCCATTTGTTCCGTCGCGATGAATTTATCATATCTTGGTATTGGCCCGATGTCAATCGAATGATTGTTTCAGTGCGATTATTTCGATCGTTGAAATTGTTAATGCGCACACCACCAATGACCAAACGTAGTCCAGGATCGAGACCATACACTTGTTGGCTTTTCAGAAGCATCTCTTGTGTCTCTTTCATACGCTCTTCATCTTTTTTTTCAATGATGAATTTTGTTCGTTCCATCAAAAATGACATACCGACACCATCTGTTTGAATGGAGTTGTCGAATTTTATTGTTGCATGGCCATCATTTTTGTTTCTCGGTTCTCTTTTGATGCTATCGATGTCGAAATACAGACGCCATAATACATCCCATTCTTTATTTTTGATGTCTTCCTCCTGTTTTGGGCCGCCGTTTTTATTGCGAAATAATCGATGTGGACATTCTATCTGTCTCAACATGCGATAAAACACTCTACGATCAATTCGAATGTAATGTCTTTCGAACGATGACGTTGGTACCACGGTGAAAATTCTGTATTCACGAAGCTCGGTTCGTTCACCTCGCTTCAATGTGGCTTTTCGTTCACGTTCATGATTGCGAATGTACCCATTTTTGTATATTTTCCAAAAAATAAATTGATAAAATTACTCGTGTGATATTTGTAGAATTGTCAAAATGGAAAAAAATGGCATAAAAAATACAATCGTTTGATTCACAATAATAAATGAACGAAAACTCACTGTTGCAAATTCAGGAATATTGGTATGTATTTGAACCAATTGCTTTCCATAGCAAAAAAGTACCCTTTCCCATCGTCGAATCGGATTGACTTTAATGTATTTTCCAGTTCCCACATCAAATTCAGGTCTGGCACACAGTTGGAGTTTCGCTTGAATAAGAAATCCATGGTGTCATCAATTTGTGCTTTGCTCGCGTTTTGATGTGTGAAAAACTTTCGGATGCGTGAGTGAGCGTGCATACAAATATTATTTTTGTAATTTGTATAAAACATTTGTACTGCGTATTCAACTACATTCCCGAATCCTCCAATTACTGGAGCTCGAACACCGTATTTTTGGCAATAGTACCAAATGCCGTAACACAACCTGTACCCGCTTTCTCTGGCGTCGTTAAATGCATGCTCAATGAACTGAACGCCGTAAAACCAATCTCGAAATAAGTTTTTGTCGACGAATTGAGTATAGAATGCTTCGATTTGCTCGTCTGTACTGCGCTTGAAATGATCACTGGTGAAATAATGCAAATTCAGTGCACCCAATATGTAGCACCGTGTCATTTCTAATACGTATACGTCAATCAACTGAGCAAATTTTCCAGTGTTAATGGGCAGATTCACTTTTAAACCTTTTCGAGCACTTTTTTTAATTGTTTGGTGTTCTTTAATTTTTATCTTCTTTCGTGGCTTAAACGCCGATTCGTGATTCCGTTTGCGACCGCTCATTTTTAGCAACTTTTAACGTATTGGAATCTCCACCGATATTTATACCTCGAAATATTGATGAATAATCAAAATATATTTTGATAAATATAAAAGTGCCGGTTTGAAAATATTCAGGCCACTGTTATATTTATCAAAAACTACAATGACTATGATAGACTATGCATGCCATCAAATAAATTTATTAATTATACTCAAAAATCGGTTGATTTAGCAATGTATTATTGTTGATGAATTTATAGGTTCCTGGTATTTTAAAAACAGGCCTCTAAAAATTTATCAAAATATACAATCACCGATTCATGTGATCGAACGGGTTCACAATAAACAAATATCAATGCGTTCATTTCACTCTTGCATAAATACAATTTCATAATTCTGCAGTCCGATTTCAAATGCTGACAAAATGTTCGCTAAATTACACTCCCAAAGGTGTGATACGGAATTTATGTTGATATTCGATGCAAAAGAATCTTATTGAAAATCATTCGTCAACAAAGCAAGAATTAATCTTTCGTCAACACGCATTTTACGATAGTGTTTCGGTTGTTCAAGATTCTGATGGATTTTGAAAATTTTGCAAAATGTTTGCCATGTTACCCTTTTGAAAAAAAATCACTGAGCACACAAAAGCGGTTGTGACATGGAATGTTGATATTGATGCGAACCGACCCAAAATTCTATTGAAAACCATTCGCTAATCAATTCTTTACTTTGTTTTCACTAGCTATAAAACATTTTATCAGAAATCTAATAAATTGCACAGAAGCGATGGAAAAAAGGATTCTATTGAGAATTATATTCTAATAAACAAACTAATCGAAATTCCAACAGAAACAAAATTTAGTTTTTTCGACAACGGTGCACGTGGTTTACACAATAAACATAAGACCGTGAAAGGTTATGTTTGCAATCGAATGACAATGACAAGCA